GATTATTACCTTTTAACCCTGCTCTTATTTGTATAGATGTTGTTAATATTATATTTCTCATATAAGTTGTATTTTTTATTTTTATACCAATTTGTAAATAAAATAAATTTAAAAGACATAAAATTTTGCATTTTTTTAGATAGATATGGTAATTCATTGGGGACGTAAGGAGTAAGTAATCAAAGTATATAACTAACTTCAATGGTAAAAATTTGAAATCGCCTTTGTTCACTAATGTACATAAATATAGTATGTTTTTCTATTAGATTGAACCAGTTTTGAATTTTTATTGCTATCGGGTCTTATCAGTTTGAGATCTTATTGGTTTCAGATATTATCAATTTCGAATATTATTGATCTTAGATTTAATCGATCGGATCTCATATATTTCAAATTTTAATCAGGTAATGATATATTTAGTTCGGTTTCAGTTTGGTTTGGATTATTTCAATTATAGATCGAATCTTTACTTTTCGGATCTTTTCGATTTTAATTTTGAATCATTCTATTCGGATAATCCATTCCAATTTTATTTTGTCAAGTTTATCGAGGAGTGTAATTCATTTGGTAACATATACTCCGTATATGAAAAGCTGTCAACGAATAACCGAAAATCTGATTACCTTCCGCATTCATATTCGTTTAAAGAAGAAATATCTGCATCCGTTTTAAACGGATATTATCCGTATCCGATTAAGGATATCCGATTATACGGAACATCTATACTCCCTAATTATAGTTATCCAATGTCATTGTTTGTGTGTTTAAAATAGTCGTGCATGACATGTTTGACGTTTGAAATAACTCCGAGAAATTAGATACACCGTACAGATAAAAGAATTCTCTGATTTATTGCATGCCAAAAAATGAAACGACTAAAAATAGGTTCCCTTTCATAAAAATTCAAAGTAAAGCTGAAAAAAATAAGAATACGTGTAAAGGAGACAAATAACAGACCAAAAGCAGTGGAAGATTCAAACTAAGCTGATCAGTTTATGCAAGTTTTGTGCACTTTTTTGTTTTCTTTTTTATTTGTTTCTAATTAAATAAAACATCATTTTGAAATTTACTGGCCAGAAGTATAAACTTTGTGTCAAAATGCCAAGATTTGATGGGCCAAAGAAAGCTTTTTGGAAATTTTGTGTATTTTAAAGCTTCGTTACGTTTTTCAGACCTATAAATGTATTTGGTACTATGATAGATGCGAATAAGCAATATTCAAAATTTTGAATTTTTTCTCTCCTTTTGTTAAATAACTTTAAAGTTTTATTTTTAAAGACTTTCAAAAGATGTACAAATTGTAACATATTACTCCCTCCGTCCTAAAATTAACTTCCCAGTTTGACTTTTATAGTCAAACTTTTTAACTTTGACCGTATATTACAGAAAAAATATATTGAATTTCATATAAATTTATTTGCAATAGATTCATTTCGAAACATAGGTTTGAAATATATAGTTTTTATAAAATATATTTATATAAAAATTGGGATATTAATGGTCAAAGTGTCGCACTGGAGACCGTGAAATGTCAAATGGGAAATTAATTTTAGGACGGATGGAGTAAGATTGAAAACTACTACTTCCGTCCATAAGATTTTTTCATTTTGGAAAAAAGATGGATTCAAAGAATGTGTATGTAATTTAAGTGTTACTCCATTCGTCTCAATTTAAATTACCTGTTCCGATATACGATAGTTGACTGAAATTATTTTCAATTCGTTTTATATGAAAATTGGTGCAAAATTTAATACAAACTACATCAAGAATTCTACAAAACATGAAACGAAGTGGGAGTATATGATTGTGCAAGTAAGGTGGCGGATGGTAATTAATTGATTTTCAGAACAGTCTTGTAAAATCAAAATTGTGTTGGAGTATTACTGTAAATTTTTCGAATACATTACAATTCATGAATAAAAATGTGGGGAATTTACCAAAATAAGACTAAAATATAATGATTTTCCCAATGCAGTATCATATGTTTTTTTTTCAATGTAGTATCATTGTTTAATGTCAATTAGTCATTATTTAAGTAAATTTCCACCGTCAATGGATATTGTACAAACCAAATGTCTAACATTATTGGACATTTTTCTCATCACTAGACATTACTCAATTACTATTTAGAGAATAAAAAAGTTTAAATACTACATTCGGATAAAACATACTTCATCCGTCCCCAATTGGATTAGTTATATTATTTAATTAGTATTCTTTATTATTTTATAATTAATCCTGTTTAGGGTTTAGTATGGGCCCGAGCCATTAGGTCAACTAGCTTAGCTTTACTATCTATATATTGTAATCCTTCCCCGTTATTCTAAAATCATTAAAGAAATATCAAAACTCTAATCTCTTTCTCTATTCTCCTAGAACCCGGAAACGATCGAAGTTTTCCATCTTTCTCTACCCCATCTTCTTGGAGTTTGAAGAACGCTCGAAATTCTTCCCTATCCGATACGATATTCGTATCAATTGGTGATTTCATCGGTCCAAAAGGTGGAATCGCCCACCCCAGGCGCCCCCACCCCCAACGGGCTGTCCTTACCACCTCCTACATTTAGTACCACTGAGTCAGCCGGTTCTTGCGATCTGGGCACGGGTGGCGCGTGTTCCTCGGAGGAGTGGGAAATACCCTAAAAACCTATCGAGGGTGTGACGGCGAACGCCCTAAGCTAGGGACCACATCGGTCCAAGATTTCACGCTCTTGACCAACTGAGCTACCCATGCTGCTGATTTCATTGATTTATTTGAACACGCAAACAAAAACTAAAAAAAATTGATTGCAAATCTGGTACAATTTGGTTTCTCCGCCAATAAACATCAATTGAAGGAGTTTGATCGTGCATCATTATCAATTGACAGTGCACAATCGAGATCTACCGCAAGATCAATTCAAGTTCGCAAGATTGCCCAGATTTGTCGGCCGACCGGAACAACCAGACAAACTACAAATTGTGCCGCCGTCAGTGCAATTTCACCGTCGACATTCAGTTCGACTTGCGTGGCTGCCGCAGATCGATCGCCACTTGATTCTCATCCCCGGGTTATTGACGGAATCTACAGGAAATAGAAAAGAAAGAGATCTAATTCGCGGAAATTCAGGAATTGGAGAAATCAAGCCGCAACAGAGGAATAAAAATTGCTGCTGGTTGGAAAAAGAAAAAAATCGGTAGTTGTCTGCAACAAAAAAAATCAAAACAAAACTCCCTAGCCGTATTCCTCTGCTCCATTTTTGTTGTTTGGTGGCGGCTAATTTCCTATCCCAGAACTTGGGATCGTTCTTATTAAGTGAGGGTAAAAAACAACAACACAGGCCCAGGAACTCGATAAGAAATTCAAGCAGCAATGGGAGTTTAGCCCTTGGTACCGTAATTCAAAAAAAAAATGAATACCTTTACTCAATCTTTGCCTAAAATGCGTCAAGATTTTTCTCTTGGGTTGGAGATCCGATTCAAGCGATTAGAGACTTTGCTTGTGGGTACTTGTGCCTTCGACAAACTTACTGATTTGCTAGAGATGGTTCTATATGGAGAACTTGAGCACGACTAGGGAGTGTGTGCACTTTACGATCACATAGACGAAATTATAAAGAGTCTCCAATCTTTTTGTCATATTGAAGGTCAGTCACATTATGATTCTAACTAACACGCATTTGACATTGAAATCTCTTGCGCGATACAGGATTTGGTCTGTGGGCCCCCAATTTTGCCGAGTTTGATTCTTGAGAGTTACAAAACTTTAGAACATACATGTTGGGTGGCATAAAAATTCTCCTTGATACTCCATCTTATATGCCAAATTTGGTCTCTACAGTTTTTGAGCAAAATGCTGAAGAACATGATCAAGTATCCAAGGAGGAATCAAGCGTTGACTCCCAAGTTGGAGATCAAGTGGACATTGGGCTTGAAGCCATAGACAAAGATAACGGGAGGTCCAACATTGTGGACAAAAATCAAGGTCCTCTTGCAGAAGATGTTGCCAATGTCGACAAGCCAGATCCTTCTTTTCAGGATTTTTATACCTCAGCTGGTATGGTCATTGCAGAGTATGATATTCCAAAAGTGTTGCCAAAGTGACAGATGTAGATGGTAAACAAGCACGCTCACCTATTTTGATTGACACCATTAAGTTGTTTGACATTGTCGATGTGGTCAAGACGGAGCACCTGGTTTCACCGAGAGCAAATACATATGTTACGTGTCATGTCTCATATTTCCTTCACTTTGCTGCACGAGCCAAGATGGTTGAAGATTCCAAGAGTGAACTGTTCCTTTGGTCTAGCATTATCTCTCCAGTCCAGAAGCACGAATGGGAGCCTCCACCTTGCGGACAAGGTGGGTTTTAAGAGGGTGAGAATGATATGATAATAGATTAGTTATATTATTTAATTAGGATTCTTTATTATTTTATAATTAATCCTGTCTATGATAATAAATACTTATAATTAAGTATTTGATAAAATAAATTATTCTTGTCACCTTTTTTTGTAAAACTTTTGACGTAATTTTTTAATATGTAATTTTTATTTCTAATCAATATATCAATTTGTAAATAAAATGTTTTTAAAAAGTGAGATAATTCTCTTCGTAAACCCTAATTTGTAATCAAATTGAAGACGGAATGAATATCTTTTAGTACAAATTTCACTAAAAATATACGTACCCTATACTATTCCAGTCAAAGCACCTTATTCTTAACATTTGTTTGCACTTAATTTCAATCAAATGAATGCGTAGTTAATTACTAAGTATTTTTCTTAATAAAACAAATTTATAATCAACTAATCATTGATGATATATGATGATTAGGGGAAGAAGATGAACCCAATTCATCCCACCTTCCAACCCAACATGTTGCTTAGCTTAGAATCGGGGAATTGGGATACCCATTGACTCAATCCTTAATAACACATTTCTAAGAATACTATAACAGTAATAATTATTCTTCCCCTCCCAAATTAATAGTTTTACTTAATTATTATTTCCTCTGATTCTAAAAATATTTTCTGTTTTATCTTTTTCAGTTAACCAGTAACAATTTTTTATCATAAATTGTCGTATATATAATTATAATATAAATTTTTAGGATACAGTTTTGATACATCATACAGAGTATGTTTATACGGAGTATCATTTAACTATTTAGATTATGTTTAATTTGTATTTAAAAAGTGTCACTATTTGATAAAAAATCAAAACCGAAAAGGTTTTTAGGTAGGGAGAGAGTAATTATTTCATGTCAAACTTTCTTTTCATTCTATCCTCAATTTCGCTAACCATTTGTAAAAATAAGAGTCATGTTACATGCATCCTATACGTTTTAGAGAGAATTTGAATTAGTTATTTAATTTATAAATTGTATTTTAGAATTTTATACCATTATATAAATAATTTAGATTGAAAAAAATCAATACAGTTTCGTTATCCAAACAATTAATTTGGGAAAGAGAAGGTATAACCACACATTAATTAAAGTCGATTCTATTATATTTAATTGAGTAAATTTCATAAAAGATCCCCAGTTATAGATCGTTTTACATATTTAGTACCTACATATCAAATATTACTAATTTAGTCCCCAATTATTATATTCATTTCCACGAATGGTCCTTTGTTAACATTTCCGTTAAGAACGTGGATAAAATTGTAAATTTACATTCCTTTCTCTCCTCAATTAAGCTTCCTCCTTCCCCTTGTACTCCTTTTCCAAACCGGTCGTTGAGTTTGAAGTTTTGAACCCAAAACCGAAATCATCACTCGTCTCTCAATTATTTGCCTAACTGGTAGAACCCAAATTCGAAATCAATAACCTTCATGGATGAGTTTTAATGTTTATTTTCTTTGTAATATCTTGAGACTATCCGATAAAACTCATCCATAAAGCTTATTGGTTTTGATTTTAGGTTCCACCAGGAAGACTAATAATTGAGAGAGAAATGATCATTTTTAGTTTTGGGTTTAGAGCTTCAAACTTAGCGACGAGTTTGAGAAAAAGTACGAGGGGATGGAGGAAGTTTAATTGAGGAGAGAGAGAAGTATGAATATACAATTTTATCCATGTTCTTAACAAAAATGTTAACAAAGGACCATTCGTGAAAAATGATATAATAATTAGGGACTAAATTAGTAATATTTAATATGTAGGGACTAAATATGTAAAACGACCTATAACTGGGGACCTTTTATGCAATTTACTCTATCTAATTTAGTTAATTTAAGTTCAGTTCAATTCAACACTTCTTAGTTAAAAATATTTTTGAAATATCATATTTTTGTAATTCAAAATATTTACTTATATACTTCCTCTGTTTGGATTTAATTTAACTTTAAGAAATCTACAAAATAAAACTAAAACATGTAACTTGTATCAAAACAAGACATTCTATATTTTGAAATTATAATATTAGTAATAATATATGATAATTGATAATATTTTATTATGTAATATATTAATAGATATTTATATTATTATATGAATATAAATTGTATACAAATTGAAAAGAGATAATAAGATTGAGAGATTGATAGATTGAAAGATGGATTGAGTGTGATTTTTTTGAAGAAATCGAATATATTTATACTAATTCCCC